TGTGCGAGCCTGGTCCAGTGAGAACCCGGCGTGCTCCGTCCCGCCTTTTGTAGGATGCGAGGTCAATGGTCTAACGACTACGACATGGACGGCTGTGAGTGACCCCCCCCTCCCCTCCCCCACCGTACCGTACCGTACGACCCCAATAAGGGCTTCGGCGCTGCGGATGCCCCCAAAGCAGCGTCTTCGATAGCGATAGGGGCGCCTGCAGCCGGCAGGGGGGGGCAGAAGGGGGGGGGCAACACCAGCAACAGCAAGGAGGAAAGACCAGGCAGACGAATCCAAGTACCGCCTGCGTCAACGGCCGTTGAGGGGGGGGGGATCGACAAGCACGCAGGGCGGCGAGCGTGGTTGTCCGACGAGGACAAGCGGTTGAAAGAGGTGGGAGTCGAGAAGGGTGTAGTGTGGATGGCAGGCGCCGTGGAGCTGTTGTTCAGTCACGGAGTTGGCTGGCGTTTGGTGGACCGCTGAGGTGTTCGCCATGTGTCGGCGTGTCTGGATTCCCCATTCTTGATTTGTCTCTCTCTTATCCCTCTCTCTTGTGTATCTGTTATCTCTGCGTGATTATTCGCCTGTCTGTCTCCCCTGTATGTCTTGTCTCTGATGGCCTCTCTGCCTGTCTTTCTGTCTCTCTGTTTCTCTTTCTGCGTGTTGTTGTTTCTCACATTAGCTCTATAGTCCACAAAAAATGGGGACCCGTCGTCTCAAAACCCGGCACATACGACGCCGCCGCGGGGAAACAAAACGTGTGTGTCTTTGTGTCTGCAATCTCTGTATGATTATCTGTCTGTCTGTCGTCTATCTCTGATTGTCTGCCTGTCTTTCTGGCTCTCTCTTTATCTCTCCCTCTCTATGTCGGCCTGTCTGTTCGTCTGTCTGCTGTCTGTTTGCGTGCGTGTGTTGCTATCGATCAGGCGGTGGAAGAATTAGGGGAGAAGAACTGGAGGCAAGTCGCCGACCACGTGCGCACGCGCAATCACATCCAATGCCAGCAAAGATGGAAGAAGGCACTTAGGTACGCCGTGTCCCCCCCCTTCCCCCACGATTTATCGAGCAAAGCGTGTTGCTTGCCTGCACTTGCGGGTTTTCAGCAGTACTTCGGTGTCGCCTCCGCCGATCCGCCATCGTAGCAGCCTATTTTGTGCGATGTTTGCGGTTGTCGTGCCGCTCTCTCTCTCTCTCTCTCTCTCTCTCTCTCTCTTCGTGTGTGTGGGCCCATGTCTGTCATTTGCCTGCTGTCTACTGTACTAGCTCTCGATCTACTCCTCTATGTACGATATCTGGCTAGCCATATCACCCTATAATAGACGAGCCAAACTGTACACATCACCCCCGTGTGCGCGCGCGTGAACTAGGCCGGGCCTGGTTAAGGGCGCCTGGGGGGTCGAGGAGGACAAGAAGCTCGTCATGCTCATTGGACAGGGCTTCAACAATTGGAGCGAGCTAGCCGCCAACACGGGCCGAACAGCCAAGCAGGTGATTTTCAGCCCTCCCCCCGCCCCCCCCACCCCCCTTGCACACGATGTCGCCACAACGTGTTTCGGAGGGTCTTAAAATGGAAATGAGGTACCTCCCCATTGAAAATTGAACTAAGCGACGTGAGGCATTCCCATTTCCCCCGATTTTGGCCGGGTGTTAACGAGATGCCAACAATCAAGTTCGAGCGCTGATTATCAAAATCAAAAATACGAAGTAAAATGGAAGAGCTCAGTTGTAATTTCGTGCGAAATCCTATTATAGGAGGAATATTTTTCAACAAAATGACACTAAAAATCAGAATCCTTCCTTTTTTTCCCGGTCAACAGAGCCTAGTTTTTTTTTTTTTTCGATTTTGAGGTTGTACCTTCGCTAATACATGGGCTTTCCGAGCTGAATTCCCCGAAGCCGTTGCCGAAGGGCGAACGGTTCACGGGATAAAGTTGCGCGGAGCAGTCCGACGAACGTGAATGAACGTTATTTTGTTCTCGGCGAATCCGACGGGAAGGAAATCGGCGGTGGAAAAGACTTCCAACACATTACTTCCCACGGTGGTATGTATAGTCTCGAACGGGTAAGCAGTCTTTCCGTGATGGTTTGGCTATTGTCCAAAGAGAGATGAGCTGAGCGAAGCGTCTTTGCTTCCTCTTGGCGTTGTCCGCTTTTTGGTCTCCCTTTACGGTATGTGTGTGCAGTGTCGAGAGCGGTGGTGTCATCACCTGGACCCAAGCGTTCGCCACAGCAGCTGGACACCGGAGGAGGACGCCTTGCTCCTCGCTGTCGAGGTAACGTACCGTTAGCACCCTCGCTTAAGAAGCTCAAGTTTCGATCGAAGCTATTATAGTCCTAGCAGGGTTAGGATGCAATGACCGCTACACACAGTGCAGGGGTGTGTCCAGATATTTTACCTGCACTATTCAGGATCGAGGAATATATAGGTTTTAGTATGCCAGCTTAATTTGCGTCAGCAGATTTGAACGCATTACACTGGGCACCTGCACTATTCAACCTGCACTATAAAGGGCACAGTATTGTACCAAGATGTTAACATTTGAGCCGACACAGTCCTTATTTTTGTTTCGGGCCAGAGTGGCAGCTTTTTGTGCGGGGGTCCTGAACCGGGCTCACGAACATGGTGCTCATGTCTTTGTGTTGAGATGTGTTGTCGGGCGTGAAGCTCTTAGCCACCAAGTGCGGACGCTAGGTGCTGTGTGTGGTGAACCAAGCCGTAGATACATGTATGACGGCATGGTGTGGAGAGTGCTCTCTTGCGCCGTTAGGTTCCCGCCAGCCGTGCAAGGGCGTGAGAGGCCGATACGCACCCGACGTTGCTGCGAACAACTGGAAGGATGCCGAGGGAAGCCGATCCTTATCAACCATTTCCAAGTACATTTGTTGCTGTATGCATATGTACCTATGTCGTGCACCCAAGAAACGTATTTTACATGTACGATAATAAATCCTATCCTCATATTGCGTCCCCAAGGCTAAAAAATACTAAGCAAAACAACCAAAACAAAAAAACTCAACTCACTACGGAGACTTCGACACGCCCCCTTCGACTGTGGTATTTTCTCCAACGGGTAGTTGTTTGATTATATATACCCTAAAAACACCCCCCTTTTTTTACTGTGGACGTGTCGCTTGTCCCGATGTTTGCGTGGTACAGGCTCGCCTGGGTACGAAGTGGGCAGCGATTGCGAGAGAGATCCCCGGCCGAACGGAGCACGCGGTCAAAGGGAGGTTCAAGGCGAGAAGAGATGCTGCCGCCGCCGCCGCTGCTGCACAAACCCACCTGTTTTGTATTCGTTGCACGGCTGGGTTGTGCAGTGTAAAGTAGTGTGTTTCTGTCATCGACTTTTTTAGGAGATGTGCATACTATCACAGGAATTACGACCCTTTCGAGATAATACCACAGCAGCAGTCAAAACTGTTTTTGTGTGACGTCACCGTTCTTGTCGCTGCGAGCAGGCTGTGCATGTATGTCCCCCCGTCACGCCGCCCCCTTTCTCCCTTATGTTCTCGGAGCGGGGCACAAGGGTAGAAGCTCTGTTTGACGGAAGAGGGACCTTTCGAATTCAGACGTGAATATGTATCCCAATGGCTCCCATATTCCCCAAGTAGGCACGGCTATGTACCATGCAGCACTGTGCCGTTTCCATTGGGATTATACTGGAAGCCTCCTCCCTCCAAGTTCATGCTAAGAACATCAGAAGTACAATATAACAAGAATTTGTCTTCTATTATTATTATTTTTAGTTTCTTCGTGTGCGCCTCGTGGTTCGTCTATCGCCAAATCGGCGCATGTCTTGTTTCGCGCACCGTCCCACTCATTTCGCATCTCGTCCCGCACAGACCCTTTCCCGGGAAAAACGCCTGGGCAAGGCAGGCTCGCAGCAGGGGGGGCGAATCAGCAAAGGACCGGTCCCGTGGGAGCCGGCAGCAAGACCCAATGTGCCAAATGTGAGGGGGGGCGGGGGGGGGGGGGGGGGGGGGGTACTCATAGTCGTGCATGCCGTAGTGGTTAGACCGTTGACCTCGCATCTCTACAAAGCCGGGACGGAGCACGCCGGGTCCTCACCGGACCAGGCTCTCAAATCACGCGCGAAGCACCGTGAGTTATTCGGCGAGTCGTATGTGAAGGGGGGGGAGGGGGGTACTCATGTTGGACTTGCCTTGGTTGTTAGACCCTTGACGACGCGTCCTCAAGAGGATGAAGCTTTCCTTTCCACGCGAAGGACCACCAGTAACTCTACCGTAGGTGACATCACACAAGATATCACACCCCCTGGCCCGATTTTCGACACTCGGCACCTCGGCAGGAGAAAAAACAGTGGTGGTGCCGAAAATGGCGTTAGGCGTTGGAACCGTCTCGTCGAGAGCTTTCCGAAAACGTATACTTCAAGTTCGGCATCCTCTTCGTCGTGGAGTAATCGAGCTTTGAAAATCGGTCCAGGGGGTGTGATATCTTACGAAACCGACGACAATACTTTGCCAAAGGTGGCTCAAAAGTGGGGTCGGCTTGCGCTCCACTGCCCTCTCTGGAGAAATCTCTCCTCTCCTGCACTAATAGTTGGAACCAAAAGAAAAAAAAACTGCGACTACAAGTTGCTTTGGCTGTCCACGAGAATCAAGAAAGGGTGTTGTCCCGCAACACACAATTTAACATGTTCAGACCCCAAGTGGAACCGCAAAATCATGCAAATATGAACATGCTTAGGTTGGTCACGAGAGTTCAAGGAATAGTTTGTTTCCGAAGCACGCTTAACATCTTCAGAATCTAGTTAAGACCCAAAAATTCCGTGAACACCATCACGCTCAGGTTGACCCCAGGAGTTTTAAAGAAATAGTTTGTTTCAGGAGCACACCTCATCAGCATCATCATCACCACCAGCTCTCATTTCTACACCCACGACGTGCAGTACCTACCCTAAGCCTGCCGGCAGAACTTCAGACCCGATATTCTCAGCCACCGCCCCCCAACGGTACATACCTCTACTTTGCCGTAAGCAGGGGAAGGCGAACCGCATTACGCCGTTGACGGGCATGCTCCCGCGGGGGCCCGGCGTACCGGGAACAGCCCGCCCCTCCAGCATGGCAAGCGGCCCCGTGTCTGCGAAAGGCCTCGCGCCGGCGGGCGGGAAGGGCGAACCTCCTCCCAGCGAAAGTGCCGTCGTTACTGCGGAGGCGAGGGTGCCCCGTGAACGCGCTCTCCACCGGCAGCAGCAGCAGCAGCAGCAGCAGCAGCATCAACAACAGCAACAACAGCAGCAGCAACAACAACAGCAACAACAGCAGCAGCAACAACAACAGCAACAGCAGCAGCAGCAACAACAGCAGCAACAGCAGCAGCAGCAGCAGCAGCAGGTGTGTATGTACACGTTAAGTGTTGGAAGGAGAGCAAACGCCGCTGTGTTAGCCGCCAGCCGTGTGTGTGAAGCATTCGTGGCACACCGGCAGTTGCAACAGCGGCAACAGGTGCGTGTGTATTTATGCCTAGAGTGTTCGAAGGAGACCAAAGTTGGCGTGTGTGGCGGGTGTGTAGCGTACACGATGCGGCAGGAAAACTAGGGGTCACGGGCCATGAACGGTTCTGGGGGCGGCAAGTAACGCCTGGACGACCAACGTCTTGGCAGAACCGCGAGCGGAATTGCTTTCTGCTGCTTGTCTCCATGTCGAAAGCCCTTCTCTCTTGGCCTGCATGTGTCCGTCAAACGTGTCGGCCACAAGAGTTACACCAGGAAATCCACGCGGCTTTAGCCTTCGCGGTTTTGCTTGCTGTTGCCTGCCTTCATGCCGAAAGCCCTTATCTCTTGACCTGCATGTGGCGGGAAAACTTGCCGGCCACAACAGATACACCAGGAAATCCACGCGGCTTCAGCCTCTCCTTGACGGGCGGTAGAAAGATCATCCTACAGTGTACGGAGATAGGCCGGCTCAGTACGGTTCACACTGGGGACAGCGTCCTTATCACTGCCAAAATGGTGTGCTGTGTTTGTTGCCTCCTTCGCCGGCTGCAACGAAATTGGCTCAACGTGACCGGCCGCAGGGTATCGGTGATATACCGGAGCCCCCGAAGCTACCCCTGGGCCTTCAACTTCCCGTGAAAACGGCGGCAGCGGTGGCAGCGGCTGTGACTGCCGCTGATACCTGTCCACCAACCGATCAACTAGTGGGGGCTTCGGCGGCGGTGGCGCCGGCGGCGGCCGTGGCGGCGGTGGCGGCGGGTGTTCCATGCCCCGCGCCACCTAGCAGAGGTATTCCGCCGCGTTTTTTTTCGCTTGGGGTTTGACGACTGTCCCGCGGGTATTGCTTTATTCGTGTTTTTTTCGGGGTGGGGGGTCCGCACGAGATGCAGCGGTTGGTGCGGACCTTGGTGCACGAGTTCTTCCAGTAAGCGAGGCGAAGACAAGCTTGCTTTGGGTTGCTGTTGCTGCTGTTGCTCTTGGGAGTGTTGTCACGACAACTCGACAAGGGTATCAGCGTGCCCCCCCCCCCCCCCCCC